AGTAATAATCTAAAATGATACTAAAAATTATGATGCTAAAAGTGAAACTTTGTTTTTCTAATTTTTTTTAAAAATAAAATTAGGCTTAGTGATGCAAAACCGCCATCCTGTACGGTGACTGCCTTCGATTCCCTTTCATCCCGCAAGAGCGTCTTAAACAAAAGTGTGCCATTGCAAAAGGGTTAACAATAACAATTATTAATTGTAGTTGCAAAATACTACACTAATAATTAAAACAATTAGAAGAATAGAGAACTGCAAATGCAATAAACAATGGACATTTGGTAGTAGCTCCATCTACTTAATAGCAAGCGCAGCACAAAAATGATTAATGCCAAAAAATGCATGTGAGTGCGCAGAGCATGGGGCATATAAAATAGAATAATTGAGAGAGAAGATAGTACTATCTGATTAATTAAACGTTAGTCAAAAACAACACTTATGGGTATCCATTTTCTATATTATAATGTATATGTTACGGTGAAACACCGAAATTTGGAGAATGTTGACTTTCACTGGTGAATGTCAACATTCACATAGTCGCTTGGTGTATATCTGAAATATTTTCCAAATACTCTTATTTCTGACTTACATCGGTCAATGTCGACATTCACCATGCACTAATGGTGAATGTTGAACATATTTTCTTCTCCGTAAATCAGTCTCGAAAAAACGCACTTGAGACTTAAAATAAGAACTTCAGAACATAAGAACTTACTGAGTACTTGAATGTATACATAGTACTTTCAAAATGAGAAGGAAAATATAAAGTATAAACTTATTAAATTATGTGATTCAAATGTTATTTATTGCAACAACTTAACTGTTATGAAACTTTTAATTGCACAAGGGCCCTTGCTTTTACAGTTGCATTTATTTGTGGAACACTTCCTTTTGCAATGACAGTGTGTACATATCTCCTCTTTTTTTGACCTACACCAGTGCATATCTGTGTTGTCGACATACCCGGTGAGGGTCCGAATGTACAAGAATTAATGCAATACATCTTCGCCGACGTATTTGGTGAATGTTGACACTCTCGGTGAAGTCGACATTCTCCAATTTCGGTCTTTCACAGAATATATATTTATAATAAACACAATAATAAGTCTCGTCCATCATGCAAACTTAAAAATAAATATATTTTTAATTATTTAAATAATTTACTTTTTTTTTTTTTTTTTTTTTTTTTTGTCAAAGCAATTTGCTGTAAATTTCAAAAAATAATTTTTTGATAATTTTTTGTTGATTTTGGTGCAGTCAGTCAATCGACTTCCATCGTTCATGCTGATGGGCTTACCGGGCAGACTAATTTCAAAAACTGGATGTTACTAATTTTAAAAGCACTCATTATTCATAGAAGGAAGTTTGCTTATTTGATTTCTTACTTCAGCCAAATTTTTTTTGGCATATTAAAATATTTATTCATTGAAGTTTAGCTGCTTGATATCGTATTTTGACAAATTACTTCCTTTTCTAAAACAGTTTCAATTTCAAGTGAATCAATCATTTTAATATTTCTTAAATTACAACCTACTTGTTTTATCCTAAAGATAGCATTTAGAGCTGCATTTAAAAAGGGAGCAGCCAAAATTTCATCACATTCATGTTCTAACAGAATTTCCATCCCATGTTTAAAAGCAGAAGCATTTCAAGAATTTTTTTTCTCAATTATCTTGAAAAGCATTTGCCTTAAAGTTTGCATCAATGCTGATACCTAACGCACAATATCATCATTATCCTTTATTTAACTTCATTTAGGATCATGTACATTAGGATTTTTGAATGTCTGTAATTTAATAACTTGGCCTGTTTTGTTGAAGTAAATCCACTTTTCACCACAAGTGATGATCTGGTGCAGAGGTTTGCCCCTGCATTGATATCCCAGCAGATTAGTGGAGCCCCAACCAGGTCTGTCCTTATCTGTTTGATTTATGCTGCACCCAGCGATTGAACTCGTTTGCCAAATTTATGCAATGCATAGTGTGACTAATGGACGTCACACTAACTTCTAACTCCTTATGAAGCTTTCGAGTGGTTGCATACTGATCTTCCACAAGTTCTTGCAAGTGGGCCTCATCAACATCAGTAGGCTGCCAAAGCACTCTGCTTCGTGAATGTCAAAGTCCTTGTTTTTGAACTTTCAGTACCAAACCTTCACAGTGTCATACGATGCAGCATTAGTACCTAAAGTTGTACACATGATCTGGCGACATTCTGTCATTGACTTTTTGCAACAGAATTGGAAGTAAATTATGGTTCTAATCTGGTAACATGATAGTTCCACTTCAGACACCTTGTACTTGATGATATTATTTTTACAAATTTCGCAACACAGGTGTTATAAAGCTAGTCTCTTTCTTTCAAATGCAAAAAATCATTTAACAAAATATGATTAAACACGTCAATGCAAACTGTTTGTGGATATGATATTGGCAGTGGTGGGAAACTTTCATTGAAACCCAATAATTATATTCTCAGAATATGCCAGTATATGAGATTAGGATATTTATTGAAAAATTTTAATCTTTTATAATTAATTTTAATCAATTAAACAAGAAGAGAATTTTTAATCTTATTTGGAATTTATTGTTTTTGTTAAGCTTCTTTTGTATTTTTTAAAATTTAAGTAAAATGTTTATTCTGTTTGTTTATATATTTTTGTCACACACATGCAAGTATCCATTTTTTTAAATATTTTAATGCTCTTTTTTAGATTAATTTTGCATGTATAGAATTATTTAGTTCTCAGCTTCCACTTTTCTTAATATTTTTTTGTAGTATATTTATTTATCTAATTTAATATTCATGATTTCTTTTATGTTTGCATGCTCTTTTTTTAATTTTATTTTATTTAACATAGTACAACCACTATTAAACTCTCATAAGAAGCGAAGCCATGCTACTGAAAAAAGTAGAAATGAAAACAAAATAAGTGTTGGCACTGTAAAACTGCAGAATGAGTGCAAAAAACAAAATAAGGTCTGCAGCACAATACATCAAAAAGAAATTAAAGGCACAAATAAGAACAAAAGTGCATGTCATAAAGATAAGCAAACAATGGATGGCTGTATGAATGGTAAGAAAATTAGTGTTTAATAATTATTTAAAAACTTTTAATTACATAATAGTATATAAATTCCTATTGAAATTTCATCATTGCATTTAGTATCTTTAAAAATGTTACCTGTATTCTTATTTTGAAACAAATTAATCCTCTCTAAGATGCCTGCCCATGGTTTCAGACAATTTTGGTTTTCTTTGAATATGCTTGTCTTAGAGAAGAAGATTGTCGGTTCTGATGATTATGAATGGGCATGTTGGATTTACTCTATTTAAAACTCTTGGACTGTTCAGAGAAAAGTACTGAAGTAGAATTTTTTATACATTGTTTCAATAATAATATTGTATTGGTAAAATTAATTATTAATCTAAAGGACTACACAATTCCAGGGAAGGAAAACATACAAAATTATTTATTTTTTATATAAATTTTTTCAAATACTGTAAATAAATTATGTTTTGAAGTAAAGAAATATATCTTGCATATACAGCGAAAAATAAACTACAAAAGCCACATTTTATTTACTGATTTCAAAAACACACAAAAATTTTTCCCCTCGGTTATCTTGAAGAACATTTGCCTTAAAGTTTGCATCAGAGCTGATATCTAACACTTAATATTATTATTATTCTTTATTTTACTTTATTTAGGATCATATACATTAGGATTTTTGAATGTCTGTAATTTAATAACTTTTACTCATATTTTTAAATTTAGTGCTTTTTGTTTCGCAGATATTTTAATGTAAGGTCACTTCAAATTTATGAAATTTTCTGTGTAACATCCATGAAGATGTGTAACATCTTATTTGTATAACAACACTTATTTGATGAAATTTATCTTCATGGATGTTACACAGAAAAACCAAAGGATTGCAGTAATCTGAGAAACAAAAATCAACTGCCATGGCATCACTTGAAAATTGATTTATATACTTTGCTAGCTGCTTAGAAATATAAATAATAAGAAATAAAAGAAATAATATAAGTCAGAAATATAAATAATAATTAAAATAATAATAAACTTATATACTTTGCTAGTGGAATAGAAAAATTAATGCGAATGTTATTACACCATTGCAATAATTTATTACACCATTGTAATGAATCGTTTAAAGTATATCATGTCTCAAGGTTGTCTGTAAGATAAATTACAGTAACTGAAGTAAAGATGAAATTTGTGTGTCAGAAATGGTAAAAAAAAAAAAAAAATCGATAAAAAACTATTTCTAATACTGGAGGTACATTTCTGAATATGTAGAATACTTCAAAAAATTGCTTTAGATTGATAGTAAAATTAGGAAGCCTTGATGTTGAGTTAATTGTCGGTATTGGATTAGAGAGTGTATGCTTCGAACAGAATGTATAATTATTAACACCAATATTAAGTTATGCTCTCAGAATGGGATTGCTTACCAAAAAATATTTCACTTTATATTAGAATATTGTTTACATAAAATGCATGCTTGTGACATTAAGGAATTAAGTATCTTGTAAAAAAAAATCCATATAGATGCATCCCTTTTACAACACGATTTCGCTGTTATATGATAAGAAAAACGCCCATCAGCAGCCATTCGATAAAGTTCCAGGATTTGAATCTTGCAAACAGGCTGTATGGGTATGGTTTTCCCCATGTGCAACATGTATATAGGCCAGTTTCCCTTAGAAAGTCCTCCACAAAAGCATATGGCAACATGATTTCATTTCAGCATCTTAAAGACATTTCAGCATCTTAAAGAATATGCATAAATCTTCTTATGACACTTTACATACATACAAACTTTGATAATGCATTTTTTATTCTTAACATTTACAAAATTAAGTAACTTACTATGCCATTGTATCAGGGGTTCTAACCTTATTAACCATTTGGGCACATCTAACAGAAAATGCTGGCAGGTGCAGTTAAAAAAAAAAAAAAAGTATAATGATTCTTAATATTTCTTTATTTTATTGCAATCATAAACAATACCCTGCATTACAAAGGTAACAAAAAATTCAAAATAGTTGCTAATGTAGTATTCAAAATAGTACTAATATAGTATAAAGCAGACAGTCGTGGACGCACAAAAATAGCTTCATGGGCATGGCATTAAGAACCCTTGTAGTACATGATAGCAACCTATTTGTTTATTTACACAAAAATAAAAGAAATTCTTGTAATGCCCGCTGTCAAGGTCTTTATTTGGTCAAGGTAGCTAATCACGATGGCTAAGACACCCACATTCTCTTATATTGAAATTCTTTTGAATTTGAATGGTGTCCATCATTTGCATGGTATGTGTCTTGTTCTCTAAGTATTCAATGGATAATTGCATGAATTGCATGAATAATTGTGATTTTGGAAGTAACTTAAAAAAAAAAAAATTGGTATTACAAAAAAAAAAAAAAAATCCATATAGATGCATCCCTTTTATATAGATACTAATTAGCTTTGTTGCCTTTAGGAGTAATTATTGTGAAATTATATTTCAGTTCTGTGAAGTAAGAAAACAAACTCCCCCCCCAAAAAAAATATATTTCTTTGGTGACAGAAATACAAATTTCTAATTGTTTTCTAAAGGAGAAAAGGCATCTCAATTTGCAGAAAGTCTAAATTTAAATCAAACAACAATGAGATCCAATATAAAAATAAAGAAATTAGAAGGGCTATTACCACAGGTTCTTTGCAAAATATGCAGCTTGTTCCTATGTGCCAGTTACTGAAAAAATGGAAAAGGTATTTAGCATTTGAATTGAAGATTGTTCTTAAAAAGGATTCCATTGGGTAGTACTGTCATTAAAGAAAAGCCTGTCAAAATTTACAAACTTCTGAAAAAATGTGTAGAATTTTCTGAACACCTAAACTTTTTGAAGAGTAAGGGTTGGTTCAGGAAATTTAAAAATTATTTTGCAATTCACAGCATAAAAATTCAGGGAGAATCTGCATCGACTGATCATGAAGCCGTCGACACATATCCAGAAAAAAAGTCAAAGGAAGAGTAACTAGTTTTTAATACCATTGAGACTGGCTTTGGAGCAAAAAAAGTGCCCAAGAGAGGACCATTATATGTGTATATATACAGTCGTGTGCAAAAGTTTAAAGCACTCGTAGAAAAATCAAATTTATTGGAATTCTGCAACAAAAACATATGTTATAAATGAAAAAAATAGAGTTACACGGTTACTGAAGTATAGTCAGTATTTTGACGAACCTCCTTTATTTTTTATTACTGCTGCAATCCTTTTAGGTATGCTGTGAACAAGAGACTGTCAGTAAGCTTGAGAAATATCTGTATACCACACATGCTTTATCGCTTCAACAAGTTCTGTAGCACTGGATGGTAGCTTCTCTGCAACTTTATTTTTCACAATACATCACAGATTCTCTATGGGATTCAAATCTGGGCTATCACCTGGCCATTCAAACACTTGGATTTCAGTAACCCTCAGATAATCCTTAACATTCCTTGCCCTGTGACACGGTGCCTCGTTATCCAAGTGAACATCCAAGCGAAGCTTCAACTTGTCACGTAAGAAATTAAGGTACCGAATGCTGTTCATCGTGGTTTTAGGTGGCAGAAAACATACATCAGCAGTCATTGCACCCCATACCATCTGGCTTGAAGGGTGTTTCACTGTCGGAATCGTATATCTGTCATCATATTTTTTTTCCAAATGGGCGCCGAATACATTTAGCACATGTAGAAAATTGCTGCACACTTGACCCATCGGAAAATAACACTGTACTCCACTGTTGTTCGGTTCATTCTGATATTGTCTGGAGAAAGTCAGTCGTTCCTTTTTCATACTTTGAGTTAAGTCGAGGTTTCCTTGCAGGTTTATAGGAAAATAAACCATAATGTTTAATCAAGCATCTTGAAATGGTACTCGAACTGACCCTTTGCAGCTCTAATTTTAACACAGGAGGTTGTTGGACATTGAATGATCATCCTTCTTATCACACGTTCATCCCATGCAGAAGTTTTTTTTGGGCCGCCGCTTCTCTTTAAGATCCGTATAATTCCGCAAAATTTTGAATTTACTGATAGATTGATGCACACCTGTCTTGCTGACATTTACCTTCAAACTTATTTCACATTCAGAAAAGCCAATGTCATGCAGGGCCATTTTTGCCCATTTTTCCCTATTTTTGCCCATTTTTCAGCAGCAAATGAAGATTTTTTGCCCATTACAAGAATTATACAACAGCAATGTGTACCCAAAATCCAATAGTGAACTACTGATAAACGAGACCACGTTATATTTATAGCAGTAGAAAGCATTTGATGCAATCAACCCATGAGATAACGCAATCATGAGTGAAAATGGTGCAATCTGTTAAAATACAGGAAAACGGTTACTGGTCTTAAACTTTTTTGCACATGACTGTAGTATATAGGCCGAGTAAGGACTTTTCTGGACACAGTGTGTATTCGTTAATGTTATATTCAATTAAATATATATATTTACCATATAGACAAGCCGCTATGACCATCACCACATTCAATGAATTCGTCTGGATGATATGGAAAGCACATGATTAATTGGGAATTATATTTAACTGCTGATCCATCACTTGGGTCGATAAAATGAGTACCAAGTTTGCTTGGGGACTAAACGCTGAGGGTTCTGCGACAAGCTGACCACTTGTTCAGGGCATATGCTTATGTACCCCGGAGCCCACGGTCAAGAAAGCAGATTTCGGGCACTGCAGACCGTGGCCCATTAGGGCTGTTATGCCACTTAGTTTTTATTTAACTGCTGCAGGAGAAAGTGAAGAATAATTCTTGCACTTAGTTTTGTGAGTGATGGGAAAGGCTGCTGATCTAAGTGAATTTGATAGATGGTAGATTGTAATGGCCTCGGAATGAGTATCTCCAAAAAGAACTGTTCTGCTTGGTGCAGCAGAATTGTTGCCAGGCAGTGGCTCAACTGACAACCCAATACAGTACAGGTCCAAGTGCAAGTGTTTCGGAACACACAGTTCACCGGACACTATTGTATATGGGACTGCACAGCAGAGGTCCCACTTGTGTGCCTCTGTTGATTAAGTGTCATTGTCTACTGTGTCTACAGTGGGCCTGGTCAAGTGAATCATGGTTTCTCATTCATCACATCCGTGGTGGTGTCAGGGTATGCTATCATCCAAGCGAATTGTTCCCCCATCCCTGGTACAGCAGGTCATACACAGGCAGGGTGGTGGCGGTATTATGCTTTGGGAGATGTTCTAATGGGCAGCTCTGGGACCCTTAGTTGTGTAGAACAGACAACGAAAGTTGCAAACTATCTGAACTTAACTGCAAATCAGTTGGACCCTTATATGGCATCTGTCTTCTGCCCCATGTCACAAGGCTCTAATTCGAGTGGTTCGAGGAGCATAAGGATGAATTCCGATTAATGTCCTGGCCACCTGAAACGCCAGATCTTAACTTAATAGAGCATATTTGTGATGTCATGAAGCAGTAGCTCAGAGCTCAAACACCACCATGTCAGAATAGCTTGACTTTGATTGCTACTTAGGCATTTGGTACAACCTGTCTTCAGAACTTGTGACACCCATGCCAAGGCAAGTTATAGCTGTTTTACAGGCCAAAGGTCACAAGCACATTATTGAGTAGGTGGTCATAATGTTTTGGCTGTTCAGTGTATACACACATATAATTGTGCCCACAAACGTCCAAAGTCCAATTTCCTTTCAAAATTTATCAGAAGCTTTATCGTAAAGTTAGATTATATGAGTTTTAAAATGTCATTCTTTTTTTTTTTTTTTTTTGTTATTTTTTTTATGTGGTAATGAAATTTAACCTGATAAGTTTATTTTTCAATAGAGCTTGATGATACTGCCTACAACAGGTTGTGGACAATGAGAGGATTTGGTCAAGCGTACCACTTTTGGAAAGAATCACGTCGAGCAAACTCACCTGCACTTCATGCCTACCTCACATACATTACACTGCCTTGGCATTCCATCATTGCAGGTAATATAACCCAGAAAATTTAAATTTAATTTTGTCCCATTTGTTTCTAAATTAAAAAGATATATGATTACTTTTAATGAGAAGTTTCTTAAATTATATTAGATCTTAAATGGTAATTAAGGTATTAATAAGGAAATCCTAAATGATATTAGATCTTCTCATATGATATGGAAACCAGGTTTAACTTAAAATGGTTAGATGCAGAAGATTACATAATATGTTGATTAACAATACCTATAAGTACACTGTAAATCCAAACTTTTTTTTTTTTTTTTTCTTTTCGACAAAATACACTTTTGAGGAATTAGTATTTATGACATTTACCTTCTTTTCAGTATGCTGTTTGGAAATGGTATTTGTGTACAGTCAAAAGTCGTTAATCCGGACTCGTCGGGACTTCGGCGATTTCGGATTATCGATTTTTCCGGATTATAGATCATCAGTTTAAATCTCGTAAGATGGCATGCAAAAATTCTAAAATTAAAAATATGAAACCGTAATTTATGAAATAAAGAACAATTATGATCTAAAGGGTATCAAAATTTGCAAAAAGAAAAAGCTTAATATTTATTTGTTTACTTTATTAAACATTTCTTTCAATGTAAGTTGTTTCAGTTTTGCTTCGTTTCATGTGATAATACTTTCTCTTTAATTCTATTAAACAGACATAATTTCTTGTTCAGTTACAAAGCTCCGCTGTTCAAGTCCTATAATTGCTGTGTCGAGAACACGAACTAACTTGTCAATCGAAATTTTTTCGTTTTCAATAACCTCTGTCACTTCGCTATCGGAAGCGAATTATAATGACGAGGAACTTGTTTTAAATCATCTCAAAGACGGAGCATATCGAGATGAAATACTACATTTGGAAAGGAATTATAAGCCAAATAAAATAAAAACATCTGCGCTGAAGATAAGGATAGTGCTGACAGATCAACTTCCAATTCATTACGCCCCCGCCGCGGCGTTCCCCCCGCCGAGCAGCGTGAAATTGATAAACAGATTTCGGATTTCAAAACATACTTTCGCTTTAGATCCTTTACATATTAACAAATATATATCGGAAATTCTATTTTATATAATCGAAAGTTTAAGCTTACTTTTAAAAAATTGCTCTTAGCCGGATCCAATTCGAAAATTAAGGAACAACGCAATCATCAACATTAACTGAAATAGATAATTAGATAATTTTAGCTTATACGTCCATTATACATAAAACACGCACGCGAAAACGTATTCTGCACTTGCGCACACTCATATGCGCAGTCGTGAAAGGTCTTACGCGCACGCGTAAACGCCTATGCGCATGTGTCAACGCGGCGCATGCACAGAAAGTTTTTAGTTTTGAGGTCCGGATTATAGATCATTCCGAGTTATGGGTGTCCGAATTAACGACTTTTGACTGTATTAGTTCATATCTACTGATACATCAAAAATATTTTCTGTGACTGTGATTCAGGCAACCTCTTAGTAGTTCTAGATGCTAACTGGATTCGTTTAGGAAAAATAATATTTTAATTTCTTTTTTCTTCTTGCCAATCTTTTCAATCCAGAATTTCAAGTTTTCAGTGAAGAAACACAAATTAGGATCCTCACAACATGCTTTTACTATTTTTAGAATATCTGTCTGTATGAGTGTGATGATTTTTTGGTCCATGATATTTTTATATGAAACCTCCAAAATTTTCTGTTTACCATTTTTTAGCTATTTACCATCATAACTGATTAGATTTGGGTCAAGTTAGACAGCTGGAAGCAGTTTTATGCAGAAGGTTCATTTACAATTGCAAATGGTATTTTACTTGAGAGAACAATCACAAGTGGTATTTTACTTGAAAGCCCATAACAGTTTTTAATGAAAAACTGTATTAAAATATAATCCAAAACTTTTCAATTGTGGTATTTAAGACTTTTATATCAATAAGATTAACATACAAGATTTTGGCTAAAATTGATGAAATGGAAGCGATACTTTATTTTAAGCTCTAAACAGATTTTTCTTAAAAAAATAAATTATGAGGTGATCCAGAACTTCTCCAGTTGGATATCTATGAAATAGGCATGTAATTAAGAGCAACATGTTACATTTATAAGTATTAAATGTATTCTTGGAATTGTGGTACATGCAGCAAGAATAAGTTCATTGTAAAAAGCTCTCGTTATGAAGCATTATTCCTCAATTTTGTGTGTTTCACTTTTGCATCAAATCACTTCCCAAATAAAAGGATGCTTCCACCAAATGTTATTACTGTATTTTATTTGTAATGAAATAATATAACAAATATAAATCATATAGTGAGTATAAAAAGAAATATATGGCTATATCTAGCACTCTGTTGGAAATTCTAAGGATATGTTGCTTTAAAAAATTTGTGTTATTGTTAAATCGTTGATGTGTAAATCTGAAATGTTGTATGGCCAGAGGATATACTATCAGCAATGCAATCTTTTCAAATCAAAGTATCAGAATGGATTTTATCATTGTCCATTGTATAGGATAAAATAGAATAATAAAAAACGAGTAGTGCTTATAATTAACACTGAGCCATAATGTTTATAAACAAATTAGTTTCCCCCCCCCCAAATGATCAACCAGAAGTGATAGTTTAGCTAAAGCTCATTGCTATTATGCTAATTTCATATTTGGTTTATGGCCTTAACATGGCCATGTGCTGGCCATTCCTCCCCTTTTTTTGTCACTGTTCTTTTTGAGAGAGGAAAAAAGGACAGGGGCCTCTCCTCTTTTTTTGAGCAAATATATATATGCAGCACACAATACAGTACAAGTCTATAATTCGGACCTCAAAGCCACAAACTTACGCATGCATGTAAAGCCAGTAAAGCTTTTACCCTTGTGCGCTTCCGATAGTGAAGAACATTATTAAAAACGAAAAAATTTCGATTGATAAGTTAGTCGGTATTCTTGACACAGCAATTACAGGACTTGAACAGTGGAACTTTGTAACTGAACAAGGAATTATGTCTGTTTATAGAATTAAAGAGAAAGTACTAGCACAAAAAACGAAGCAACTTAACTTACATTGATAGAAATGTTTACTAAAGTAAACAAATGAATACTAAGCTTTTTTTTTTTTTGTAAATTTTGATACCCTTTAGATCATAATTGCTCTTCATTTCATAAATTACGGTTTCATATTTTTAATTGTTTAATTTCTGCATGCCATCTTACCAGATTTAAATTGATGATCTGTAATCCGGAAAAACCCCTAATCCAGAATCGCCGAAGTCCCAATGAGTCCGGATTATGGACCTTGTACTGTATATATTTTTTGCTGTACTTCAATTAATTTTGTTTCCTAGAATTTCGTTAGAGATATATTTCAAATTCAGTCGATTCAGTTCTTTCTTTGCGGTAAGGCAAAAATACATAAAACTCAATCTTCATTAAAAATTGTGAAATACAGAAAAACCTAAAAATCCAAATGCAGTTAAAAACAATTTAAAAAAATTTACAATTAAAATTAAGAATTTTTACACAAAAATCAGCAATTTGGCCAAAGGTGAAATTTTTGGTGTACAGAAATGAAAGCTAACTTTTAGTCACTCTGGGCCAAAAAACACTGAATTTGGTGCATCAACTGGCTTAATTCACTATTCTACTAAGAGTTTCACTCTAAATAAATGGCGGCATGGTTAGGTTAGCACCTCTTAAACTTTTAAATTACTAATAATTTTACAATTATTGCATACAGTTTGATTAAAGGCATGAAAACCTTAATGGGAACATAAGAACAACATATTTCAATCACTTTAAAAAGTAAAAAGTGCACAATTTACCAACATATAAAAATAAAAACGCAGAGCTCACCAAATCAGGTAACAGAGTGGTAACATATATATATATATATATATATAGATACACTTAGAATAGTCATTAGTGAAGTTTTAAAAATAAAATTAAAAAAAGAATATAGCATCTGCATTCAATCTAGCAGCATCTGCACGTATACCGCTAGATTGAAAAATCTAGAAATCAAAAAGTAAAAGTTAGAATGAAAATGAATAACATTCTGTTCCTGCAATATGAAGGTCTAACCTATCTTCTCTGGCTAAAATCACCAAACTGAATAATCACAAATTAATGAAACTTTCAAAAACGGAAACTGTAAATGAAAATTAACCCGAGAGCGCTGGGTCCAATGGACACGCCTGATTAAAGAAACCTTTCTGAAAATGCCCCTATTTTCCCCAAGTGGTTGTAGTTCAGTGTAGTCTCCTCCAAGGCCATCCTCTTTATGTTTCCAAAGTTTTTTGCCGGAAATTTTATTTGAAGTTTTCTTTTAATTGGATCGGGTCTTTCAGACCCAGCGCCCCTATTCGCATTGCTGTAAGGTAGTTTGTGGTAGCAAAGAAAACAGCAAACATGTCGCATAATTTATCCTATAAGGAAAAAATCTTACGTTTGCAAAAATTATTTGATGTATCAACTGTCGAAGACTCCATTGAAGAAACTGATGATGAAAGTTATAATGAAATTTTTAGTTCTCGTGACACTGATTCAGAAATCGAGATGCATTCTGAAAACAAAAATGAGACTGACGTTTATTGCTTTATTGGAAAAGACAAAAACCCAATAGTAAAAAGAAAGTCTAAACTTGATGATGTTAGAACGCCTGCTCATAATATTATTACTAAATTGCCTTTAAATATCGGTAAGACAAAATATGTGTAGACTCCAAATGAATCGTGGTAACTTTTACTAAGTGAACAAATGTTGCTGAAAGTCGTCAGTTATACAAATATGTATATTGCATCTATTTCTGACAGCTATCAAAGAGAGAGAGATGCTCATAACACAACTCTAACTTAAATTCACACTTTTAATAAGTCTTTTATATTTTTGTGACATAAGTCATCTCATGTAAATGTCCGGGATCTGCTGGCAATAGACAGAACCGGCTTGGAAATTTTCCACAAAACTGTGTCTTACAAATGTTTTCTTTTTTTTATAAAGATGTTTGCGTTTTGATGACGTAAGAACTCGCATCGTCAAGAACGAATCAGATAAACTTGCACCTATAAGAGAGTTTTTTGAAGATTTTGTGAATAACTGCCAGAAATATTACACTGTCGGTGAGTTCATAACAATTAATGAAAACTTGAAGCCGTACGAGAAATATGTTCTTTCAAGCAGTATATTCCTGATAAACTTGAATAATAACTCCTGACTAACCTGAATAAGAATATAATGAATTCCTAATAAATTCTATATTAATGTAATACATTTTTCTATTCCTTTAAAAAATTTTATTTCATAAAGAATAATATAGAAATTGAAATTAAAATATTAATTTTTATAGTTTGCATATTTTTAAGTTTCATCATAAAATTTTGGCATTAATGTAAGCCTTTTACCTGAAGAGTAACAGTTTTCTCTTCAAAAAACAGGAGCCGGGTCTTTTGGATCCAGGGTAACTCAAAAGCTAACGTGTAACTCAAAAGAGCGCGTGCGCTCCCGACTTAAAATGAGAAAAGAGAAAATTTGTAAAAAAATTACAAAACATTATACATAACAAAATGAAATAATTTTTTAATCTTCTCTGTTAACGCTTCAAACAGAGCTTAGACCAAATTAATTAATGAGTTTCAAATGCATGTTTCGTTCCTCTGAATAGTTTGAGACTCAAAAGTGGTTTTGAGTCTCAGATTTTCTCTTTTCTCATTTTAATTTTCATTTAAAGATTCCGTTTTTGAAATATTCATTAATTTGCATTTATTCAGTTTGGTATCTTTACCTGGAGAAGGTAAGATAGGTTAGACCTTCATATTATAGGAACAGAATTTTATTAATTTTCATTCTGACTTTTATTTTTTGAGTTTTATATTGTATGTATATATGTGTGTGTAGGTGTGGGCCAGTTGCAAAAAAAAAAAAAAAAAAAAAAAAAAAAAAAAAAAAAAAAAAAAAAAAAAGGAGATGCACAACTAGCTATTATTGCAGTCCATATACAAAATTTTAACGCTCTATGGCTACTCATTTTTTAGTTATGCGAGATATGTACGTACAGATGTTAAGAAAAAAATATCTTCTAAATCCATTTTAAATTCATTTTTACAATTTGTTTTGGAAAAACAAGTCCTTTATTCTGTCCGTATGTGCAGATGTCACATAAAAACATCATTCAAATGGATTTGAGAGCAATCAGAATGTATATTTTCATTGAAATCGGCTGCCCAAAATTTTTCCTGATTACAATACTTCTTTTATTTTGGATAAGGAAGTAAAAATGCTGTTTATCGACAAATGGGACAAAGCTGTAAAAAAGAAAGACTTTGCCATAAAATTCAGTATTTTGTGAAGTAGTTTATTAACAGTTTTGAAAAATCAGAACTAAATTTTGTGAAGCTTTGATTTTACTGATAGACAGATAGACTTCAAGATAGACTTAAGATAGACTTATTATGATATAAAACATTCCAACAGTGAAAACAAATTAGAATAACTGCTTATTTTTCAAAATTTTATAATTTTCTTATGTAACCTTGATGGAACAGATGCTAATATAAGTAATTTTGCATTTATATTTTAGTTTAGTACTATTTAACATTTAAAATTTAAGAAAAAATTTCGTCTTAAATCCTGTTTTATTATAACCTCCATTTTGCGAATTCCTCGATGTAGCAAAGTATTAGAGATTCGACTGTAATGTGTATAGATAGATAGAAAATTATTTGTTGAAGTAAAATTTGAGAGAAGAAATGCATTAAGGGCTTCATGTAAGCATAATAATAATTTAATAATTTCAAATTTCAGTAAAAGTTATTTTATGTAGAGTAAAGTACATTTTGTATTGAAATTGTTGTTCATCACAGAAGTAAGGAAGTTATAACACTAAGTCTTAAAACAGCTGTATATATATTACTTATCTACTCTCTGAATATGTGCATGCATACATATACATTTTATTCAATGATGAAGCAAATTAAGGAATTTATAAATTATTTTTCCCTATATTTACAAATAATGCAAGGTTCAAGCTGTACACACAGAAATACAACTGGTAATGGTTGACTGTGTGGTCGTACATTGTTTCCATTCATAATGAAATGGTGTATAATTGAAAATTTATAGTTGGATGGAGGCTATAATAAAACATGATTTAAGATGATTTTTTTTTTTTTTTAATTTTAAATGTTAAATAGTACTGAACTGAAATATAAATGCTAAATTACTTACATTAGTGTCTGTTCTATCAAGGTTACATATGGAAATTAAATAATTTTGAAAACTAATCAGTTACTCTAACTTGTTTTCACTGTCGGGAATGTTTTATGTCATAATAAGTCTTTCTTATTATATCAGTACTTTTTTTCTTTTACCTTGTATTTTATTTCTACATTTATATGCTTCCAGTAACGCAAATTCAAAGGAATGTACTTACTATAGTTATGTTCTTTCATGCAGCTTTTTTATTTCCATATATATTCTACATATATGCATTAAAATTTTATATTTACATTTTTATTTGCAAGCAAACCACGATTATGCTTTAAGATATATTTATGTGAAGTGGTAATTAGATATTTCTCCCCATTTAGATATTTTAGATTCTAAAGAGCAACCAGTATTGACTTTCTAGCATCTGAAAGTATTATAGAGGTTTCTATTAATGAAATGAGGGGGAAAATGTGATTTTAATTCTTATGTCTGAATTTTCTATGCAATAAGTATGTATTTGTATATATTTTTATTTAACTATATTTCTAGTCAGAATGTGACATGAAACACTTTGTCAATATATTTTTTAAAAAAAATGTTTAAGACATGAATGTGATTTCAGTAATAATTTATAAGTTACGAATATACTGAAAATATATATAGAAATATATATAGATATAAAATTATAAAGGGACTGTAAAAAGAAACCATCTGATTATATTCTTTTTTATATGTGAAGTTTAAAATGTCTTTCCTTTGATTACTTAATAATGTGTGCCAATTATATTTTAAGTTATAAACTGTGTTAAAAAAGTGTGTTTCAGCTTTTTCACATTTTATGCACCTATTTATGTTTTAGATGTTATATACTTTTGCCTACTAAATTTTAATTTTGAATTTCTGTTTATTTTACTTGGTGCTATAAAATAAGTATATGGATACTGTGTTATATATGTGTACAGCTAGAATTTATGTGTATAATTAGAAGAATCATATCCATTCTTTGTAGAATAGAATAATTCATATTTTAATATATAAATGTATAAGAACAATGCTGTTCAAGTTATTTTGAGGTGTGATGTGTGTTTATTATTCCAAACTATTTTAAATACACCACATCATTTTACAACAATATTACTTATTTGAATATAGTTGCAATATATTTCATTCAAATTTATGGTTATTTCATAATTTTAAAATGTATGAAATAAGTGGTTTTTTTATAAGAATGCTTTATCTTTTGTTTATTAAATGTGCAGTTTGAATAAGATCCATTATTATACATTTGATTGTTTATCTGTTAAGTAATATTTCAATTTATATACAATGAAGCCTTGGTTTATGAGTTTAATTCATTCCTGATGTTTATCTGTTAAGTAATATTGTAATTTATATACAATGAAGCCTTGGTTCATGAGTTTAATTCATTCCTGAAGCCTTTCATGAATTGAAACAATTTTCTACATAGGAATTCATGTAAAATGGATTAATTAATTTTTGGGCCACAGATGACTGCTAAGTTAAACGTCACAATTTGTGCACAAGTTTGTTACTCAGATCAAATAAAAATCCAAAAATGTATTGGGGGGAACACAATATTAAGCAGATAAAATAGATGGAAATGTAATTTTACCATGTCTGTACAAAGGAGAGTGGACACTATATGTGGAAATTGTTGAGGAAAATGTTATTGTTTGGATGCAAAATTCACTTCCATAAAACACCAGGGGTTATTTTTTTTTCTCCCTCCTTCCTTCCTTTCCTTTTTTTTTTTTTTTTGATAGCATCTCCTTCCAAAATCAATTTTTGTTGCATCTTCTGAAGTTGTAGTTTTTTCATGTTGAACTCATTTTTATGATCCTCTAGTAACTTCTCTACATCTTCATTGTTAACTTCCTAGCCTATGATTTTGCCTAGAAATACAATTTCATAGATAACAAAAAACGTCCTAAAAGTCTTTGTCTGCAATCCAGTCATGTTCTCCAGGCAATCGTGATTCAAAAGTTATTGCTGTTTGGCTTTGTTAATGAGAGTAAGCAATGGGAAATATTAAAATGTTTCCAGAAGTTCTTGAGTGTTAATAATATGGCACAGCTAACATCAAAACACCTTGTGATATTAAATAGTTCTTAAGAAAGATTTTGCAAAGTTGCCAGTTTCTGTGAATTTGCATTTTTTTTAATTAGTTGTTGTTATAAGGATTTAATTCTAAAAAGCTACAGGAAAAATTATGATGAATAACTTTGTTAGCATAATGATAAAAATTTATCTGTAGGAGAAAACGTTCTGAGCATAATTCTGAAGCAAAGAAAGAGTTATACATATAGATATTATCTTAAAAAATATTGTATCTTCGAAAAAGTGGTGCATTATGTATTATATTTTTTTTTTTTTTTTTTTTTGTTTACTATACTCTTCAGAAAATAATTATAGGAAGTAGAAGTATCTGACATTAAGTAGTCATGGAGTAAAATATGAACTGAATGAAATGAAAATTTTAAACTATTATGAATTACCAGTTATTCATATTGTTGCGTGCGTACGGGCTCGTTATGAAATGAATGCACAAGTCCGATGAAAAATGAACAAAAATTTATTATTATCACAACAAAAATGCTTAAATTTTCTCAAATTATCATGCAGTATTACAATATCTCACAGTAGTTATCTTTTAACTACTCAAATGTCCAATAGAACGTAATTCAAAACAGCTAAAGAAAGCTAATCCGCGAATTCGCTACAATCAACAAGAGCAGTTTTCTAAACAACAACAAACTAAGCAACTACTACGAACTGAGATGTTTTCCTCCTTTTATAAGATTTTAAAAATCACGTGCTAGAATTTTCTAGTACTTTCTTGAAATCAAAAAGAGATATTTATTTATTTAATGTTAAATGCACATGCTGTTGTATTTTTAATTTTCCAGCTTAGCTTTCTTCTTTTAATATTCGTCACGCGCTGCATTGCGCGGGAAATGAAACCATTTAATTTATAATTGAACTAACATTAGCTTTTTAAATACCAAATTCGTAACAATATAATCCTGCAGCATTTGTGCATGCTAAAATTGTTAGTCTTGCTTTGGAATCTTTGACACCAGTTGGAGCCTTTTCTATAGAAGTTGCCAAGGTATTTTGCGGTACATATTGCCAGAAAAGACCAGTTTCATCAGCGTTGTAAATTTGTTCTGAAGATAATTGTTCACTAGTAATGAATTCAATGAATTCATCTGCAAATTGTTCAGCAGCTTCAGTATCAGCTGAAGCTTTTTCACCTGAAATTTGTAATTGTCTTATACCATTGCAATTTTTAAATTTGGTTAACCAACCTGTCAAATATGTGCACTCAGTGTTTAAAGTTCATTTCTTCATGAATATATTTGGCCTTGAGCCATTAGTATTGGCACGCCAGTATGAATGGCACGCCCTTGCTGCGATGCTGTCTGATCCATTTCAATCATCACTTTGTCATGATCGTCACTTTTAGCATAACGAACCCTTTTTCTGTCTTATTCATTGCAAGTAGGGTGTCGGAATGCACAAAAAATTCAAAAAGTTCCTTTTTCTTTTTGCTTATGTCATATAACAGTTGATTTTCCAATGTCATACTCCTTGCATAATTTTGAGACAGATATGCCTTTATCCATTTTTTGCAGCAATTCTACTTTTTGTTTGATGGACATCCAAACATGCTTTCGCTTTGTAGATCCTTGGGTAGCTCCAGAATTGGAAACTCTTTTCGACATAATCGAAAGTTCAAACTTTTATAAAATTGCTCTAAAAGTCTACAAAAAATAATAAGCCGGATCCAATTAGAAGATTAAGGAACAGCGCAATCTACAACATTAACTGAAATGCCTTAGAATCAGTAAAGATAATTTTAGTCTAGCTTATACTGTCCGTTATACATTAAACGCGCATGCGTAAAGCATACAAAAAAAAAAAAAGTTTGTGTCTTTGGGGGTCCGGATTATAGATCATTCCAGATAATGGACGTTCGGATTATGGACTTTGTACTGTATATGCATAGTCATACGTGTATATAAGTGGTAAGATTATGGAATATAAAAAGCTGTAATGGAATTCGGCTCCAAGTTTTCAGAATTTCTAAAATTTGTGAGATTAGACTTGATAACAGAAGTGTATAACATAATATTTAAATTTTATAGAACTAAAAGTAACTGATTTTTAGTTTTAATAATAAGTATATTTTATTCATTGCAAGATCTGCTCGAAATTGTAAGTTTTTGGATCATGTAAGAATTTTTTACCTGATATTACCATTAAGATACTTCATGATTTTTTGTTTTTAAATAAGGAAATGATATAATATCTTCTTGATAGCTAAAGGTACAAAATTACTTGAGAAATTTATTTATGCTGCATGATCTATTGATGTAACCTGAGATTTATTGCAAAAAATGATAGTTCAAGAGAATTATAAAGGTTAAACAAAAATTTTGAGATTAAGAATGAAAAGCTGTAATTGAACCGAAAGAGGTTTTTTTTTTTTTTTAAATATTATTTTTCTAAAATTTTCTATATCATGATGAATGGTAGTTACTGATATCTTCAAAATACTACAAGCTTCATACATAAATATTGCATGAATATGTGTATAATTCCAGCCAGATTTATAAACGATTTCACAAAAGATATTTCAGAGAAATCAAACACCTGAATTTATTCAGTTTATACATTTCTTCTTTACAGTTTCCTTATAAAAAATTTATTTAATCGTTTCTTGTAGTTGTTGAATGTTAACTTTAAGTTTAAAGGAATTTAATATTTGATTCCTTTGCTTAATAAATAATAACATTTTCTGCTACTTCATCATTAACTGTTATTTTATTGGTATACTAGTTTGCATAGGAGTTATATACGCTGAAAGTATTTCTTTCATTGGGATCTTGAAAACTTAAGTGAAGAATTCAAAAATAAATATTAAAATGGCTTTAAATTCATGATTTAATTTCTGTTGTTCATTGAATTATCACTGTTAAAAATATGTTATATAAAAAATGAAGCCTTCATTTAAAGACAAAAATTTAAACTGTTAACTTTTTACTGCTTCTTTTTTAAATGTGCAATTTTAAAGCAAAAACTTCTTTTTATAAAAACTAATGAATATAACATGAGAAGGAGAAATTTATAAAGATTTATAGATAAAACTAATTAATATATTAATAATTTTAATAAACTACATTATTTATTAATAATATAGTTTATTAGTATTAATAATAGTAGTATATAGTTTATTAGTATTAATAGTATAGTTTATAGATAACTAAATAAATTAATAAATTAGACACTAATTTATTAATTTAAAAGTTGAAAGGAAATAAATAAAAATTAAATTAAAGTAAAAAAAAAAAATAATCATTCTTTAATTGTATTTTTAAATCCAATGCACTGAAATCTTTGATGTTTTAAATTTAGGAACATTCTTTGTATCTTGTGTTTTATGCTTAAACATGCTCTTTGATAACAACTTGAATTACATTATCGTTTTTTAAACTGAATGTGCTGTATATCATTTGCTTTAACTTATCTTGCTAAACTATCTAGGCACAATGATTTTACATCTCATATAACTTGGGAAGCATTGTTATAGAATTTATTTAGTATTTGATAGTAAATTTCTCATTATTTTGATAATTTTTATTGGATGCAAAAATTAATTAATTAGCTTTTTGAACTTATATTTTTTTAAATAATACTGCACATTTTTTGAAGGGTGAGGAAAAAGAAAATATGCATGTATTGCTCATTTAAAATTATTTTAAATGTGATTACATATGCTTTTCAGATCTGAAATAATTTCATACCACCGTGCTACCAAATTCTGTTATATTGATCAATAATTCATTCATATAAAATTGAAATCGGAAATCTGTTGAACTTAAGTAATTGGTTTTTCTATCTCAAAATTTGCTTGATGAATCAGAATTATCTTATGCTTTTTAATTTTTTATTGCCAAAATTAGTCTTTATTCTTTTAAATCTTTATGGGGTTTACACACATGAAAGTTAAATACTTAGATGTATTTATATGCTAAAAATATATATATGACTTTCTCTTAATTAAAATTTTAAATTTCATTTCTGTGATAAAATGATATTTCTATTCTTGCATCTTCAATACATGCATTTTTTTAAGAAAATGATCAAAATATTTTGTTAATATGAAAAATATGGGTTTTAATTCCTCTGTTTTCAAATGACTATTGTTTCTTTTATATTAACCTTTTTTACTTCATTTATTTTTTTTATTGATCAATTAATGTGTTACTCTTACTTAAATTCTATCAAAAGTGATTGTTTGCATAAGGAAATTTTCTAAGATTTATGGTTTGGCTGCTTTGATTAAAAAAAAAAAGTAATTTTTCATTGATAAAAATTTAAATTAATCTTTGAGTACCCATAAATTATAAAAAGTTATTTTCATGAAGTCAAATTTTTATGCATTTTTCTTAATAAAACGTCTAAAATAAAATATGATTCGTACTATTACATTTTTTGAGGGGCTACATTTAAAGATGGTTTCTGCAAAGAATTACGTTTCATAAGTATACAGCTTTATCTGAACCTAAATTGCAAATTCTAGAAGAAGTAATCAAGTAAGTTTAATAAAAAAAAGAGAGATTAATAAATGTATATCGAATTCAAATAGCACTGAGGACCTAAAATTTTGACAGCTAATTTTTTAAAAACTACTTGTGCGATTTTTACAAAACTTGTCAGTTTAGCATCATTCGAGTCATAGAATCAAAATATAAAAAAAATTGGCATGTCATTTCAGAAAACATCCGATTTTCTGTCAGAATAATATTAGAAGAATTCTAATATATAAATCTAATACGTATCCTAAGTCACACTTTCGAGACATGAAAAGCACAAGTTGAATTTCGTCAATCGGCCCAGTAGAACGGGAGATAGAGAACTGTCCCCCTTTTTTTTTTCTTTCGCAGTGTACGTTAAGAACAGTATTATTGGGAACTAAACATTATAAGTAATAAATTAACTTAAATTTAAAAGTTTTCATCTTTTTACTTAAAAGTCATTTTCTACTCGAAGATGAAAATTATTTAAATTTTTAAAAAAAGTTTTAATAACTTTATTAAAAAACTTCCAAATTTATTCATAAGTAACAAAAGTATATAGTTAGTAATTTATGGCATACAGTCGGATGTTAAATTACTTAATCATTGACATATGTATAATCAATATATGTAAATGTATGTATATTGTCTATGTTTGCTGATCGTGGACGTTATGTAATGTCATATGTTATAGCTAAGTTTTTAAACACAGTGGTATCTCACATAATCAACTTAATTTGTTACATAATGTAATTTGTTCTGCGAGATGCTGCTTCCTTAAGAAATAATTTTAATATTTTTGAAGGCTCGACGCACAATTTCGAAAAATCTCTAAAGAATATTAAGCATTCCAGTAATGTTGAAAACAGTAGATATTTACTAATTTATCATAAAATTTTAATGCACACCATGTGTGTAACAGCCTTGAGTTTTTCAGTTCAGTTTAGTGTATGTTTTGACTACTCTCAGAGTTCTGTCAAAAGTCTGA